TCACAGTTAGCACTCCAGAACACATGACACCTACCATTATTAGGCATATACATTTACTCTCTATGTAATGTCATCAACACACTTATATATATTCATAAATACACATGTAAAAATAAATGACCTCTCCCACTCTTTGCCTTTGTAATGTGTATGCAAGGAGTGTAACTAGTTTCCTTTCACACTACTGATTTTTCATCTCTCTTTTTACTGTTTATCTGTAAAAGATATTCTGTACTTATTATTTTATTCTATAGATTACCTGAGGTTTTCACTTCATGTGGTCAGAGATATTTACACCTCAAAGAGAAGATCTATGGAATGAAAACAATCAAATAAATATATGTCAAAAGAAAAAAATATATACAGAACTACATATGTATATATCCCTAAATATAAATGTTTGGGTCTAACTATACATAATTTTTAGATATTCTATAAGTTTTCTGTAAAGAGTTATAAATGGACACATTTCTTACCTAAAAAATTCAAATGAAGAGGGTGATTTTCTACTTTCAGCTGGTTTTCTTTTGAGATCTGCATTCTTATTGGATTCCATGCCATCTCTGCTACATAAAATTTGAAATTCCTTGTTCCTGGTGAAATCTGAATTGACAACAGTTTCTTCTGTGAATCTGTCTAGTTCCTCTCCTATTTCTTCAAGTTCCTGACATAATTCATCATCAAATGTAGGTGAAGGACTGCTTACATGCATATCATCATCATCATCATCAATAATAATCAATTCGGGAGGCTTGGACTTGGTAAAACCCTTTTTCTTAGCTTCTTTACCAACACAGCTCTGCGGAGATGCTTCATAACCATCATTCTGTTGGTTATTAAGAAAGAATTTATGCACTCCAAAATATTCTTGCAAATATATAGTTTCAAACAAAAAATTCAAAGATATGACCCATTTATCTACCTTCCTACAGATATTTACAAGCATCATCAGAAATACACCTTTAACATAATCAGTGTCAAAACCTCAGCATACCAACCTTTTTACTGCTATCCGACTGTGTGTTCTCCAAGTTATGGTGCAGAAGCGTGCAAAATTCTCTCTTACAGGACTCTTTATCTGGGCAAAAGTAACTATGGACATAAACACATGATACTGGGAGCCTGGGACACTGCTTCTGAATCCACAGCTTACACGGCTGGTACAGTTTGTGTGGATTACTGCAGATATTTCCAACACTTACAACCTGAAATAGAATAGAATTTTTGTAAAGCACTTTCCTTCAGTTCTCACATTAGTGGAAAATGACTGATGCCAGTTATGACGTATGGATAAAGAAAATAAGGATTCAAAATAGAACCAAGCAAATTAAAAAGTTTTATACTTCATACACTAGAAAAAAAAAACATCCACTATATAAAGTTATGTCAAGATGAAGTAAATAAAAAAAAAAGTCGTGTGTGTTTTCCTTTGATGAACTATTCAGAGGTTCTTTTGCAAAAATGATTAATAACCGTCTATAAAACCTAAATCTGTATTCAAATTTTATGGGAATTTAAGCTTATTATTCAGTACAAGCATTGGCATATATAAATTGTGTACATATGTATACATACATAAAAAAATATACTTAAACACACACACACATATATATATATATATATATATATATATATATATATATATATATATATATATATATATATATATATATATAAAATAATTATATATATATATATATATATACATACATATATATATATATATATATATATATATATATATATATATATATATATATACATACATATATATATATATATATATATATATATATATATATATATATATATATATTATATATATATATATATATATATATATATATACATACATATATATATATATATATATATATATATATATATATATATATATATATATATATATATATATACATACATATATATATATATATATATATATATATATATATATATATATATATATATATATATATATATATATATATATATATAAAAAAATTATATATATATATATATATATACATACATATATATATATATATATATATATATATATATATATATATATATATATATATATATATATATATATATAAATATATATATATATATATATATATATATATATATATATATATATATATATATATATATGAATATGTATATGTGTATATACATATTTTTACATATAAATATAAACACATTTATGAATAAATAAGTAAAAAAAAAGAAAAGAAAAAAAAAAGAAAAAAAAAAAAGAAAAGAAAAGAAAAGAAAAAAAAAAAAAATATAAACATATTTATAAATATATATATATATATATATATATATATATATATATATATATATATATATATATATATATATATATATACATGTATATATATGCATATGCATTATAAATATATATACATACACATACACATACATATATAAACATATATTTATACATGTAGATATATATATACTCATATGCATATGGAAATGCATAATATATATATATATATATATATATATATATATATATATATATATATATATATATATATATATATATATATACATATATATATATACACACACACACACACACACACACTTATACATACATACATACATACATACACACACAAACACACACACACGTTTGTGTTTTCTGAAGATGGTAACAGCTAACCTAAAATATATAACAGAAATGTTTCATAACATTTTAATATAGTTAATATACTATTACTAGTACTAAAAAAAAATGCTTACATCCATTGTTGTAACTCCTGCTACATAGATGAAAATCTGAAATATAAAACTTTTGTTTAAAAAATAACTATTGGTTGCTTGTTTTAAATGAGCATTTGTTTAAAGGTTAATGGTTAGGAGAAATAAATGTGCTATACATCAAAGGTCATAGAGCACTATGGTGAACTATTGTAGCAAAAAGGGTAGAAAAGAATTAACGATCAGGATAAGATAGGTTAGATGGCAAAGGTCACTGTAGGATAGAATGGCAGTGAAAAGGTATAGAGGGAGAGCAAATGGATTACAGTAGGGACTTGTAAAAGGGTTAAAGATATAGGGGGTGATCAGATCAAATGGAGAGTATGTGTCTGAGGACGGGAGAGTAACACTATGAGGAAAACTGCAAAAGAGCCATTATCAAACAATCAAAGGGAACAGGGGAAGATGGTGAAGTATCGGGAAGCATGTCAGGAGGGCAGGGATCTGGAGGACATTGCTGTGACATAAGGGAGTCATGTGAGGATCTAGATGGGAGTGGTAAGGATAATTGGGAAAGGAAGAGGGAATGGTGATACACAGGGAGGAGGAGAGGATAACATGTTTTTTTGGGTGAGTGAGAGGAAGACGGGAAGGGGGAACTTGAGGAGGAAGAGGATAGATATCAGCAATTATTTTGAATATAGGGCAAATAGGAACAAAGGGATTAGAGGGTGGATGAGGGAGTGGATCATTCTCTAGAGTTATATTTAAGAGCTTCTGGATGTCTTCCAAGAGAATAGAAGTCCGAGGAGCAGAGGGAGAGGTGGGTGTGGGAGAGGATGTGGTAGAAGATGGTCAGAACGTTTAGATTGTCTGATGCAACAGGTAGTGAAAAGGAGAAGGGGTAGACAATGCGGAAGTGGTAGAGATTGGAGTATCTGGATTTAGACTGGAAAAGGAATTTCAATGGGGGAGAAGGAAGTAGAGAAAGGATAGTGAGATGTTGAGATTTCTTGAGATGGAGGGGAGTGGAGCAAAGTATAGTTTTGGAATAAGTAAAAAGAGAAAAACCTCATCAGCCTACTTCTTGTCTGGTCTTATGTAGAGTGAGGCCTAGTTTGAATCTGAGAACTGTTACCTCAGATTCAAGTTTGTATATGCTGGGCAGCTCCTATAAAATACATTATAGGAGCGATCACAATGGGGACACATGCGTGATTAAGCAGGGCAATTTGAATGGTCATGACCAGGTTGGGCACATAGAGGGCAGCGGGCTGTGGAGGGACAGTGTTTGGCTGGGTAACCAAAATGCCAACATTTCTGACATTGATGGGGAAGAGACAATATGTTCAGACAGGGTAACACACTCCACCAATATAAACTTCATTGGGAAAGTCATGTCTATGGAAGCTAATCTTGACAATATTAGTGTAGGACTTACATTCCTCTGGGAGGAATAGTATAGTGCTGGACTGCTACTGCATCTTAGTTGATGAGGCATGCGAGCAAGTCGTTTTTACAGTCTGACCAGTCCTTGTCATAGAAAGGACAGAGATGCAAACAATTCCAGTACAAGCATTAAAGGAGGAATGAGGTTGGGCAGGAATAGGTTTGCCACTGAGGTCAGTCAGGGTAGAATGTGTATGAACTTGGGCTCAGATGTACAAGGCGTGAATGATTGGAATGATTATGAAAGGAAACTTTGTCTACCTTTGGAAACATTGTTGGAAGTACATGGCTGGGCCAAAAAGGGTACACAAAAGGTTTGCACAGGTGGAGGTAATAAAAGGATGAGGGTTGGAGGAAGATGGGGAGGTATGGAGAGTACTGTTGGGAGGAGGACAATAAGGATGAAGAGTAGTAATAAGGGTGGTGAGGGTAGACAATGAAGAAGACTGCAGTATAAGACAGAGTGGAGGATGCTGGGAGAGAGGAAGGGGTGTATTCTAAATAATGACCTGAGTAGATGATTCAGAATGGATAGACAGATTGACAGCAAACATCATTGTATTAGTATCAGTAGTTTCCTTGGTTTCTTACTGCTTATTTTAGGAATAGTCTTATATTGGAAACTTTTAGTTTTTAATTGGAAAAACAAATGAGAAAGATCAGTGGAAATAACCTTCATCAATAACTTAATGATTAATTAAAAGAATTTATATACTAAAGACATTTGCAGTAATTTGAACTTATTTCTCAAGTATTAAAATTGATACAAATGTCTGAAATGTTTACACTGGAGCTCTGCTCATTGACAAACTCAAACCAAGATGAAAGTTAGTATATAAATGCTTGCTTGAATCTTCTACGCCTTCTACTTTCTCACAAATACATGGGATCAGATCCCTTACTTGGATGGTGGCTGCCTACCCCTGTGCAGGATATTAACACGCTATACGCTCTCCAGGTATAATCATTAAAGTAATCTCTTGATCCTGGGAAGGCCTTGGAAAGCAAAGTATCACTACAAAGGCAGAGGCAGGGATCGGAAAACCAATGAAATCAATTTTAGATAGGCTAGTTGATGGACAGTAGGAGATGAAGAAGAGAAGGAAAAGGAAAGGGGGACCCCAGTCTCCATCTCCTAAGCTCCATCACAACAACAATGAGCAAGAGATTAGGGGGGTGGAGGGATCATCAGGAATTATAAAGAAAAATACATAATAAATCATTTTCATAAAGTTAAGCCTACAAGGAATCTATTGCAGCCAGTTCTAGTACAATCTTATGAGACTATGTATAGTATAGGACATCTGTTTACTGTTGTCTAGGGAAGTGACAGAAGGTAGGAAAGGTCAGGTTTGGAGTTTTGGCTTTGCACAATACCCTGAATTTTGAACTTTGTCTCTAAAGGGTTTTTAACCCAATGCCGCTGGGGAAAATGAATAAAAAATGGGGAAAATGCTGTGCTTATTTTCTATATTTTTTGTGAAATGTTTCTACACATAGATGGTTCTGCTAGTGCTTAGCCACAAAGAAGTCATTTAGTGGACCTTGTGACCATACCTGATTTGAATTTGTGGGAAAAATGTATTTCTTACTAGTGCTGTGAATATCAATGGTGTTATTTATATTATAAACATTATAATTACTATAATGTTAGTAACAGTAACATTAGTAACATCAAAATAAGATAGCGTAAAATATTCCACTTGGCATTGGGTTAACACACACCATACATGTAGGAATCCAAATTCAAACCTCAGACCATCAAATATCATGGAAAAAAAAAAAAAAACTCATTTGAACTCCTTGAATAATGTAATCTTAACACCCCCATGACAGACTACAAGAGTAGGCCCCAATAACAGAAAATCAAGCACAAATGACCTAGTATTAGCCTCACCCATGTTAAGTCACTTAGAAGACGAGACTCAACTTAGGAAGTGGCAACTTCTTAGTTATCATTAAAGATAATCTCCCCCCCAAAAAAAAACAACAACAACAACAACAACCTAAAGAAAAGAAATGGATATTCCTAAAAGAAGGTTGGAGGAAATACCTAAGAGAATAAATAATAAATTAATAAATAAATAAATAAATAAATAAAATAACCTACTTCTCTAAAAATAATAGAACCAAAATATTCTTATTTTGAAAATTATTATGGGATTAATAAACTAAACAAAACATAGTTAAATTAAAATTGCAATGAGAGAAATAAAACAAAGAAACAAAGACTATAACAAATGGAGGAAAATCAGTCAGGAAAACTACTTTCAATATAGAAAACAATTAGCTGTAACTAGGCAAACAATAAACAGAGAAAAAAGAAAATCCTGAGAAAATTTCAGTAATGTAAAACATCTGCAAGAGAAGTCTGGTGCTTTATAAAAAGCCTTACAGGTAAAAAATCAATTACTGAATATCCAATCATATATAATGATTCAACAGTATCAGATTTAAAATAAAAGCTAGAATTCTTTGAAAAAGAATTCAAAAACTCTAAAAAATCCACTCTTAAATTTTTACCAAAAAGTGAAAAAGAGGCATTACTAAAACTCCTTGATAATAAAGAACTTAGTAATAGGATATCAATAAAATTAAAAACTGCCATAACAAATACAAAAAACAAAAAGGCATATGGGCCTGATGAAATAATAAATGAATTTTACAAATAGGGTCCAAGGAAACTAACTCAAAATATATAAAGAATCATTAATTATTACTGATACAAAGGCCAATATCCATAAGAACAAAAAACTGACTTAATTAATTCAATATTAAAGTTAAATATAAACCCTGAAGACACAGAATCCTTCTGATTTTTAAGTAGAATATCATGCATTGGAAAAATCTTTGAAAATATAATAAAAAGAAGAATTGTTTGGTGGCTAGAAAAACCGAGCAAATTAAAACACAGATTGAATAGGTTTCAAACCTAATCAATCTGCAACTGATGCATTGCAAATAATAGACCTACACATCAATAATGCTAAAAGAGAAAAAAGTATGCCTTAAGAGCATGTATTGGTTTTGAAAAAGCTTTTGATTTAGCAAACCAGGAAGCAATATTAATCAAAGTTGCAAAAATACGAATTACATTTTCACCATTGCGTCTTATAAATAACAGATAACATCAAGTAATGACATTGAAGATGCAATCAAGAAATTAAAAAAAAAATAAAATAAAATAAAAAATGTCTTTGAATGGAATGATAAATAGAATATAAAAATGAACTTATCAAAAAGCAAAATTACATGTTTCACAAATAATAAGTTCAGACAAATACCAAAATTAGAAACGGACAATAGAGAACTAATATTCTCCACAAATACTAATATACTAGGCCTAATATTCAATTCAATTGGAATATAATCTCAATAACAATAGAAAGTCTAATATTTATAGTACTGGGAACCTTTAAGAGCTAAAGATAAGCATAAATATAAATATTACACCAAATATCAGTCCATTACCACTTTGGTATGATATATCAAAACACATAGAGACAAATTCTATGGACAGAATAACAATAAAATAAGCCAAATCAATAAATACAAAATCATTTTCACATGACTGAAAACACCACATACAGATAATACAAAAAAATATTCACACATGGACGTAAAATCCAAAATCCAAATGCAGCATCAACAGCAGTTTATATCAAATCAAAATATCCATCAAAATCAGAAATTTTGGAAGCTGAACTACTTGCCATTAAGCAAGGTCTTACATACATACAGATTAACAAAATAACTGATGCAGCAATTTTTACGGATTCAAAATCAGCCCTGCTTTTATTACAGCACCACAAACCAAAAACAAATAAAAATATGATACACAATATACAAACACTAATAAAACTCGAAATCCCAAAATTATATTACAGTGGATCCCAGCACATAAAAGGCATAAAAGGTAACGAAATTGCAGACTCGGCAGCCAAGAAAGCTCACAACGCAGCAAATGTCCCAAACACATCCCACAGCACTTGAAGCATCATAAAAAGAAATTAAGAATTAAGTTAAGAATCTTAACAAAACATAGAAGACCAAAACAACACCTACACACACTAAGACTCAAAAACGACCCAACATGCAGATGGTGCAGACGCGAAGAAGAAATGTCCAAGATTCAACTACGTACAAAACTTAGGTATTTGTTACCTTCCAGAGACGAAATACCAAATCTAGGATTACATACGAGCCCAGAATTCAAGCCTAACATTTCCTACCTTCTATTTACCCCCTAGAGAAGGGGATAAGCCACCCTGTATCCCTCTTAAAATACACTTCATGTGAACTTATAGAAAACGCAATATCAAGAACTGTGGCTGTGTGAGCATGTTGTGGGCATAGTCACTGAGAGGTGACACGCATTGGGTATTTTCGCAATTTCCCAGTAAATATAAGGCCGCTACAGATATACCCGTATTGCATCCTACTCTATTTTGTATGCTCTGTAAGATGGCAAGTGTCCATTTCGCTCTACCTCCGCGTGTCACTCTCGGCAACATCGACCCAAGCTGATTCACTTGATGCCCCGAGGGAAAACAAAACAAAAAAAAAATCCAACGACCCTAATCTAAATAATCTAATTAAGATCTACCACCAACTTTAAAAGATACTACGCTTTGAGACACAAGAAGATATTTAAATAGCGAACTAACAGAACTGATTTCCATAAAAACTACGAAGAAAATCAGAAGAAAAGGATTGTAGACAATATTATAGCCTAAAACACTAAAGAAGAAGAAGAAGAAGAAATAGAACTGATTTCAATAAAAGCTACGAAGAAAATCAGAAGAAAAGGATTATAGACAATATTATAGCCTAAAACACTATAAAAGAAGAAGAAGAAGTATAAGATATTGAGAGGTTATCTTAATCTCAAGGTACATGTTATATCTCACACAAATGACATAAAATCCTCATAAATAAGTTATTCACGTTCACTCTTTAACTTAATCAAGTAACTTACCAAATTACTTACACTTTAGACCTGTTAATTATGGAAGACATGAAGGTAATTGGTTAAATGCGTAAATAACTAACTAACCCTAAAGGAACACACGGATTCTCAAAGCTCAAATACATTATACAAAAGAAACAAAAAAAAACAACAACTTCAAATGTGTACCATGATCTATTTCATTTTATATTTAGTGCCAGCAACAAAAGAAAGAAAGGAAAGGTATTAGAGAAAAAAGACGAACCTGTTTTAATGTACGGAGAACATTAATAACTAAAAGGGAGGTTAACGGGTTTGAAATAGTGTGCTTCTACGGCGGTCGCGTTGAAGCTGCGTTCGTGACATGCAAAGATCACATACACACCCACACGCAAAAACACACACTCACGCAAAACACACCCACACCCTAAAACACACCCACACGCAAAAACACACACACACACGCAAGAACACCCACACGCAAAAACACACCCACACGCAAAAACACACCCACACCCTAAAACACACCCACACGCAAAACACACCCACACGCTAAAACACACCCACACGCAAAAACACACCCACACACAAAACACACCCACACGCTAAAACACACCCACACGCAAAAACACACCCACACGCAAAAACACACCCACACACTAAAACACACCCACACGCAAAACACACCCACACGCTAAAACACACCCACACGCTAAAACACCCACACGCTAAAACACACCCACACGCAAAAACACACCCACACACGCGCAAAAACACATACACGTAAAAACACACCCACACGCAAAAACACACCCACACACGCGCAAGAACATATACGCAAAAACACATACACACCCAAAAACACACACACACAAAAAAGAAAGAAAAAAAAAACATGTATACGGCTTATCCTCAAATCTACTACAACTAGATACAATAATTGGAATGAATAAATCAGACCCCTGAATCCAAACTGAGACCTCCCTAGACGATGCAATACTAGGTCTTATAAGATTATAATAATTTGGAGAAAAACTAGGGGATAACAATAATAACAATGATATGACTTATTATGAAGGAGTTATAGATTAAACAAGACCCCTATAATGGAACTAATATTTTCATCAAGAAAACCCTAATAAGTATTGGTATTGGGCTGGGTTACTCTCGTGGTTCAATCTAAGGTTATTTCAAGGTAGATTCAATACTATTTTTGATCGTTGAAACTTCAGTTCAGTATGGCAACATTCTGCCCCAGTCTTCATCACTAATCCTGTAAAACCTTACAATGAATTAATTTTATTCTTATTATATTCTTATATATATGCCGTCATTGTTGACATATTCATTCATATATATCATTATTGTCCAAGAGGCTAATAAGTTCAACTTTTAATAGATTTTTTAGTTCTCGTGTTTATGTACTTCGAGCGATTTCATTGGTGTAAGTGTCGTTTCTTTTTGTTTCGTCTACCACTGTGTTTCTCCCACCCCGTATCTCTGTGGTATGTTTTTTTTTCTTCTTTTTCTTGTTCAGTGTTCTATAATGTAGAAATGACAAAATGGGATTATTTGAAACATCGTGTGCAAAAAGAACTTGCAAATCTATTTCGTAAAAATACTTACAAATGGATTATACAGTTCCTTGGCCCGTCGTCCAATAACTCCAGCGGGGAAGACCTAATCTATAGTTAACTCCACACAAATACTAGATATAATCTTAAATCTCTTTTTTTCATGGTTTTTATGTTTAATAAGTTCTAATAAGTTCCTAGAGTGAACACTGATTCACCTTCACTCAATGATGTTCCAACCTGAATTTCTTCCAAGGCGGGCAGACCCGAGGATGCCAGCTAGACAAGGGGCTAGTTGTTCGGTTGTATGGATGCTGAGGTGACAATTTCAGGAGGTGATTTGGTATTTTGACTCTTATCTCGAGTTAAAGCAACCACCAAGATCGTCCGCAAGTACTGGACCCCTAACATAAACACAACTTCCACAACTACCGAGTTACTACCACCTAACTCTATTGTGTGGTTTTATTCCCTTAGATTTTCACACCATGAGTAACAAAGGGTTACATTTTATAGACTAATGCATCGAATATAGCATATCTTAGAGCAGTGGTTCCCAAACTTTTTCTGGTCGTTACCCACTTTTCATACATGATCCTTGTCCATGGCCCCCACCCCCAACCATAACCCGTGACTACAGTGACTGTCTACAGTCCTACACTCATTAGGTCCATATAAAAACCACTCTAGCAAATCCTGTAATTTTATTGATTCCATTTGTTATTTTTTCTTTTGTTAAGTATTAAAAAAGAAATTTGTATTTTTCCTTTGCTAAATCTCATATAATTATTGAAATGGTACTGAAGAAGTAATATAATGCACATAAAATAATCTCCATACTTAGAGTAATTAAAAACTGCATTATTAAGGCATTGCACAAACCTGTACTGAACCTGTAAGTTCCCTCCACTGGCTGCTTACCCGCTAAACTCCTTTGATTTTATCTCTACAAAGCCTCAGATTATGGCCCCTTACATTCTGCTATATGGCCCCCCAGGGGGCCATGGCCCCCAGTTTGGGAACCACTGTCTTAGAGTGTCACTGTTTCTGGGCGATGACGTTTGTTAACAGATATAGCGCAAGAGGTAAAAAATTAGTCCAAGTAAGGTAATGTATATATAGTGACCTGTTCTCATGATCTCCCTTGCCTCACATACCAGAAAGCCATATGTTTCTTATCCTACAGTTACTTCACTGTCCTCCGCCGACTCCAACAGGTCTACAACCGTGACAATGACGAAGAGACTTTAGAACACGCCAAACTAACCCTTATTGCTCGTAAACAATCCCCATGCTGTTATTGTTTTTATTCATAATTATGTCTTGTTTATACTTAAAATGTTCGTTAGAAAATGCTTATTCTGAATCACTAAGTATGTTATCGCTATTATTATCGATATTCAGATATCTTTATGTTTTATGAATACCCAGCATTTCCTTATCATGAAACTTTTTAGTCTTGCAAACACCGCATCTCTTCTTCTCATATATAACTGCATTTAAGGTACTCTGATTTCTTCACCACGAAACCATTATGAGACCATATGTATCTGAATTTGTGTTCATTCAAATTCTTTCATGTTTTCTATTATGAATTGTTTCAAAACGAAGTTTGTTTATGCAAATTTTTGAGCAGTTGACGTAGACCGCTCTCGGGCATGGTAAGATGCCTAGCTGTGAACAACACGTAGCAAGACCGGATGGCAGATTCGCACCTCGGTCCAAGCAAATGCCTTTCTCCTTGCGCAGGATGCAGGTGCTGCCCTCCGTTCTCTTTTCACACAGGAATAAACATCCGCCCTCCAAGGAAACCGCCGCATAAAAGGGCACGTGCCTAGGACACAGGGAGACACGGCAGACAGGCCAAGCCACACAGGGTCCAGCTCCACCACCTCGTCCTCCACCCGGGGACACGGGGGTCTCTCGGGGGTCTCATATCTATCTTCAGAAATAAACCAGCAAGTTAAGACCCCTTTCATTGACCGCCCCAAGACCATCTCTGTTACGCTTACATCTAGTGGCTTGCCGTGGTCACTTACGCTTACATCTGATGGCAGCGGTGGTCACTTACGCTTACATCTGATGGCAGCGGTGGTCAAGAGCCTCACAACGCCGACAGTAATTCACCTACTACTACGCTCCTTGCCGACGCTGAACCATGCTATCTGCCTACAAGCTACTCCTGTCGAAGTGCCTCCTCGCCTCCTTTAACGTCCAGCCATCGCTACCAAATCTTCTTTGCACCATGTCTACCCTGCTACTTTGTGCTGACCACTCACGTCTGTGCTACCCTCCTGACGAAGTCGCTGACGATATGTTCCCGTACTCTACGCCACCACACTCGCCAATCCGGCTCATCTACCTCGCCAAGTCTTCGCGAACCTTCGTCAGCACAACCATGGAGCCGCCATTCTACTCAGCACCACCAATACTTCCTAGCTACTATTAAAAGTAAGTGTACCTATTAGTGCCAGATTAGCTATTGTCCTCCCTATACCCACCCACAGCTTGCATACAAGTTGCCTTCTTTCAAATTCAAGTACATGCCACTCAACGAACACAAACTACTAACTATATAATACATAATCTCTCGCTGTCAACCATTGTTTTTTCAGCACAACAAGCGAAGTCACACACTGAGATCAAACCTAAGTGACACACACCACACCTCACACCTCGCTCCCCTTCCCTAACCATATTTTAATTGCTATGGTATTTTTCTGTTATTGTATTTTATATAATGTTTATTATTATTGTCTTCACATTGCAGTTCATTATATTCTATTTTCTCTTAGAACAAATAAGTATGTGTAGATATGTTCGATTTCCCCCGTTATGTTATTCATATTTACTGCTACGATTTTCGTTGTGATATTGTTTTCACCTGCATACTGTACCCTATTAGTAAGTAATTCGTTACTACTTCCTCTATGAATGTGCGTATATCGTTCTGTCTTTCATAACACCTGTATTTTCATATACTTCCCACGCTAATCGTTCGCTTTTTCACACATAGGTTTAAGAGACATGTCGATTACCTGCCTTAGGCCCAAACCCACCTACCTGCCCACCCTACAAGGATTTCACTCTAGGATTATGAATTTTACTAAGTGCCATCCCTAAGACTTTTAACTGAACCCAAACCGCTTTCATGACACCCTCTCGAAGTTCGATATCTTATCATCTATGCTAGAATTTATGCTTCTTTAGTTTAAGGAATTGGTGAATATGTAACTTGTATCTGACTGATGGTAGGTAGTCTATTGCAAATGATCATAACGATGATAATGCATTACAGGACACCATACTTCATATAGGCTTACATAATTATTATCACCGCAAGTTAATTTTAAGACCGGCTCATGGCCGTAACGAAAGAATCCTGCGCCCGCCGCACCGAGATATTACTTACGCTCATACGATTGAAGCGCCCGAAACGCGCACGCCCGGCTCAAGGCCGTAAACGAATGAATCCTGCGCCCGCCGCACCGCGATGTTATTTACTCTCATACGATTGAAGCGCCCCAGACGCGCACGCCCGGCTCATGGCCGTAAACGAAGGAATCCTGCGCCCGCCGCACACTTACGCTCATACGATTGAAGCGCCGAGACGCGCACTGTGAGAATTAAGTTCAGGCCCAGCTGTCTATATGTTCGAAGCATATATACTTGCCTATTTAGCCCAAAGATATGGAATTCTTGTCCAATTACTTTTTCTCTCTTCGGTATGATGTTACTCTACAGAACTCGCTAATCCTAACAAATCCATGTAATTAACATTCACTTACTTGACACATTACCCTTCTCGTAACAAATTATTCTTATTATGCCCTCATATTTTTTCTTGCAACTTAGTAAGGTGATTGACAAACACATTATTATCCTCCTCCTTAGCCCTTTTACTGGCCTGGTACACTTATATTTCAGCTTCTGAAGATGATTGACCCTCCTCGCTACTGAATGTTGTACCTCAGTGCGAAACCTCCACCGCACCCGCTACCTTGGCACGCGACGACCCAAGCGACCATCGGATCACCAGGAACCATCTGTAGATACCGAACAGAACCTGTATCCCTATCTGCTACTGCAGTGTTCCAGCGTTGCAGACGGCTCGAGGACGAGCCTTTCGCGCGGCCGAGCGATGTGAACAACACGTAGCAAGACCGGATGGCAGATTCACACCTCGGTCCAAGCAAATGCCTTTCTCCTTGCGCAGGATGCAGGTGCTGCCCTCCTTTCTCTTTTCACACAGGAATAAACATCCGCCCTCCAAGGAAACCGCCGCATAAAAGGGCACGTGCCTAGGAC